ACACACACACACACACACACACACACACACACACACTCATGCGTGCGCACGTGCACACACAGAGCCCCGGGCGGACCCGGAGGCACCAATGAAGCAATTCTAAGGCCCCAAGAACACTTGTTTCATCCTCCTTCTTACCTGACATTTCTTTACATGCCTTGATAATTTCCTCTGGATCTATCCTTGACTCTGGGGAAGTCCAGCTTGGTTGTGCAGTTTCCTATTGTTTAAACAAGATTGTTTAAACTCTGTTGATATCCACTCAAGAAATAGCAGCTGTTGCCAGTGTTTTTCTTTCTTACTGAAGCCAAACATGGAGCAGCTGGAGTCTGGAAATGTGCCTTGAGAAGTCAGGTTTCCAATCTGACATGGCAACCCACTTCCTGGAACTAGCATCACTAGGGCAGGGGTCGTTTAGTCATTCTAATGCCAGGATTCCCACGCCAGTAACTGCATCACTTCTCAGCAGACACATCTACCTACCCCCACTCCACCCCAGGCAATCATGTGAGTCTGGTGTCTCCCTGGCCTTTTGGAGCTGAGAATATAGGACACTTGTGATGTATGCACACTGATGCCTAACCAGGGAGATCAGGAATCTTGGGAAACTGATAACCAGGTGGCTTGGGATGCTTGGGGAGTCCGGCAGTGACACATGGGGAGAAAAGAAACCAGTAGCCTTTAGAAAAACTGAGTTCAGAGGTCAACGAAGGAATGAAGAAAGTATAAAAAGTTATATAAAGTGTTTAGGAATGCTGGCTTCAGAAGGCCACAATCAAGAAGGAAAAACCTCCTTGTTTCCCCATTTTTTATTTTCTGCACAGCATGGTGTTTTTCTGGACTAGTAAGCAATAACAATGGTAAGAATAATAGCAGCTAACATATTGAATACTTTCATGTATATTAGCAAATTTAACATAGGAAGAGAGACCAAATCCTTTGCACTCAACTACTAATTAAGCAGTCATGTCATTCAGTCTCTAGTCCAACTGGGAAGGAAATGAATCTGATGATTATCCCAGAATCTGAGCAGACTCGTGCTTATAATCTCTTCATCCCTAACATTCAGGTGCTGAGAGATTTTTATTTTCCCTGGAACCTCACAATAAACAACTAAGTGCTTTTTATGCATCAACTCACTAAATCTTTACATCCCCCTTGCTAGGCAGGCATGATTATCCCCATTTTACAGAGAAGAAAACTGAGCTTCAGAGAGGTAATAACACTATAATAGTAACGATCTGCTTACCCCGACTGCATGCTCTTTGTGATCCCAATATACAGCCTAAGAAACGAAACTGAGGGTCCAGACAAAGTATGCTGGGCCTCCCATATATAACATACATTCATTGTACAGTATCTCACCATCTATTTCACTGAGCCTCAGCTCCAAGGATTAATAGATAGTTATTGAAAGAGTATGTATCTTTCACTGTCTTACTTTTCTCCCAATACCATTTTCCTTTGTGTACATTTTGAAAAGGAAAAACTGAAAACGTGTAGCTATGTCCTTCAACTAAGTACCTGCTGGTCTTCCAGCTATGCTCTCTGTAATACGTGATGCAAAGATGAGATTTTGAAAGCAGCACCCAGCCAACTTTTGTGATAGTTCAACTCCTCATTGTTTCTGATGGAAGTGGGGATTGAGGAGAGTGTGGGGGGCTGTAAAATGTGAAAATGCTATTTGAGAATTTGGACTTCACCTGAAAATTATCAACTGATCATGGCATGCTGCCCAGCCTTCCTGACAGGACCTTAATGAGTTAAGTATCGTTAGCTCGGTCTTTCTGATGCCTCTGGAATTTTCTAGGCTTCCTGTGAAGCCCTGCTTTCAAAAATCTAGTTGTGATTATTCTGTACTTTGAGAGGGTGCTGCTGCAAGCATTAGCAGAGGATGAACTTGAAAAGAATTAAGGAAATGCTACATTAAGTGCCTAAGAAAGGAAAGAGAAATGTTAACAGTAGTGTCCAGGGCCACTTTCTTTGTTGCTACTGCTGAGTTCCTCTCTCTAAGGTTAGGGCCACACATCCATGATAGCTCTGTTCCTGAAAAACAGCTTTCCATAAGGAAGAGCTACTCAACTGCCACCATATTTTTCTTTCCCAGAAATATAAATATGACTGAGCTGTCACATACCTGACTGGAAAAGCCATCTTGTGGCATTGGACTCGGTAGCCCGAGGCTGCTTTCAAGAATGTAAGGAAAAAAACAAAAGAATGTAAGGCATTATTAACCTTGAACCTTTGCCATTGCATGGCCATGCACGTCAACACAGTTGTAATTATACTCTGTCATAATTATTGAACATGCAGCACATGGCAGGGTTGGTGCTAAGACTCCAGCTTAACCTGCACTTTGGACAACAAAGAGCACACTGAAATTGTGGCCATAGTGGTTGATACCTCAAGGTCAGCAGCACTCCTGTAGTAATGACAACCCTAGCTCTCCTTTACTGAGATCCTTGTATGTTTCCGGTCCTGTGCCAGGGTCTTCACCTCTTATTATCTTAATCCTCACAAGGACTCTAAGGTAGGGGCTGTAGCCCCATTTCACAGAAATGGACTGAAGCTCAGAGGCCAAGAAACCTACTCAAGAGAGTAAGGGCCACAAAGCTGGAAAGGTCAAGGTCTTTCCACTTTTCTGTGATGTGTCTTGCTAGGCCAGATTCCTGTGTCAGGAATTTTGGTGTGACATTGAACTCCAGGAAGCTGCCTTATGGTTTGTGCTTGTCCTGGTTTTCTTTGAGGGCTCTCTGCTAAGTCATTGTGTCCTTCACCATGTTCCCGAATGCAATGCTGGAGATCACTTTGCTCAGTCCTTAGGCCTGTGAGCCTGGAGGAGCAGTGTAGCTATCTGCTATATATGATACAGTCATTGTGTATTGATTACTGTGATTGATGTAACTGGAAAACAGTCATGTAAGGACCAGACAATGAGAATTGAAGCTCTAGTTTGAATTTTAGTACATACAAATAAGCACATATTTAAGATGCTAAATGCTCTTCCTTTCGTTTAAGATATAGCCTCATCTGACAAAAAGATGGAGAATATAAATACCATTAAACCATCCTTTCACATACTTGAACCTGCCAAAGAACACATATTTTAACCTAAGGTAGACAGCAATGTTAAGGTTAAAAAAAATCAGCGGGTTGGTTTGTGTTTATCTTATCTGAAGGAATACCTCATTTCTACTAGTGTTTCTAATTACATAATTTCTGCATTGAGAAATACTCAGTGCAGTGGATGTTTTTATGATAACCAGGAAACTTTAAAGGGAACAGTTCAGATTAGAGAAAAGCAGGAAGACAATCAGTTAAATATTCCAGGTAAGATTGTAAATAAACTGTATATCAAAAACCAAGTCCACTTATTTAAAAATATCTTAGCTCTTACTGTTCTGCCTACTTCTAGGGGAAAAAATGGGCCTTTTCCCAACACAATAGTGTATTGGGTTATAATGCAAATTGCATTATCTCTCATGACAACCCTGGCTTCTGTAATATAATACAGTGCATTCTTTTTGGTAAATAACATCATAATGAAGTGGCTGAATTGCTGGAAGATTGCCACTGTCTAATTAAACAGAGCCAGTATTCTTTATGATCCAGCTTGCTTCAGCTCTTCTATTTTCCCAACGTGCAGCCTGAAAGAATGCCTCAATTGTTTCTTCTGTCAGCAAACTGTAGTGCATCCAGTTTCAACCTACTCTATGATGATGTACATAGTATGCACCAAAGAACTATTCTTGACCTTTGCTACTTGTGCTTACAGTGCAAGTTTTGACATGACCATTTGGAGTCTCAAGCCTGAGCTTCTTAGCAGAGCCCTGGGAACAGATGTTTAGTGGAGTTTTCCACCCCGTCCCTTCCCAAGGAGGCTATGTCTATGTACTTGAGTCATAGAAGGTTCACATCATTATGCTAAATGCATTCATCGGTTCAATAAATACTTAACTGGGCAATTTTCTCTGGACCAGACACTGTTCTAGGCTGAAAATACAGTGGTGGGCGCATGATCAAAGGTTCTGCTCACATGGAGCTTGCCATCTAAAGGGAGACAAACAATAACAAGAAAAAAATAATATTAGCCAACATATCTGCCCTTGTCCTTCATGAATCTTGTGAATAGAATCCCTATTCTAATTCTGGTAGATCCTGATTCTTACATAATAGTTTCTTGACTGGTTTCAACAGTGAACAGGCTTTATGAATGTTGTGAATTTGATATGGCTTTATTTGGGAGATTATCTCTGACTTGTGAAATTAATATAAGTTAATCATAGGACTTTAACCTAAAAGGTGAATTTGAAGTGGCATCAGCTAGATATGTTTAAAATGTCCTCTTAGTTGATTCTTTTTCTTTGGGCGGTATAAGGGAAGCAGGTGGACTTGAATGCCTCCTGGATGGAGTGAGCCATTACTTGCATTAGTGAGTAAGATGCACCATCATTAGGATTGTTTTATGAGTGTCAGTTGGTTGTGGAGACTTTTTGTTACATTTTGCAGCGCCAGGTCTTGGGGAAGGAAGAAATTCTTGATTCTTTTCTTTTTTACTTTTTTTTTCTTTTCATCAGTTCCTCCAGTTCATAATAATGCAGGTAGGATGTGGAAACAGAGAACAGTGCCAGAGACTGAATGAGGCATTTTGCAGGAGAAATTGATATATTCA